TTTTTTTTCAAAAACTGTAAAACTTCTTAAACCTATCTCCTCCCACAATTTTTGCTCAATTGACACCAAACTTGCTACAGAGCATCTTCAAACTGTCCTACACAAACGATCCACACAGATTTTTGATTTATCAAAAATTGAGCCTACAGTGCATCAAAATGTTTGACTGTAAACGGTATTGTAAACATATACTTGCAAATTCATGCTAAATACATTTTCAATGTTCATTAAAAAATGACAAAATTGTGGAGTCATGGTAGATGATGTTTGGAAAATATCAGAATTGTATCTCAAAAACTGATTTTTTTACAGCATTTTGAATTTCGCTCTCATGTGAACAATTGGAGTCAATGCAAAAATGGCATTTTTAAACATCAGTTTTTCACTTATGGAGCCAATAAATCATTGTTAAAAACAAATTACCAACATCTCCATGCTGTCTAGATGCAATTTGTGTATTTTCGGATTTTTGTCTTAATAACTGAATTTTTGACAGCCGTTTGAAATCTGCCTTTACACACTAACAGCTGCTGTCTTGCACACAGGTGAATGGCTTAGTCAATTTGTGAAGCTACATGTGACATTTCTGTTCGCCAATTAGCTCAGTGAGATAGAGGATGGTTCTTGGTGTTGAAGATTGTGAGTTCAACCCTCAGCTCGTGCAACATTTCCATATGAGAAATCTACCCAAACTTTTCATAAAGGTCCAGTCCCATGCCAGATGTCCTCAACTGGAAACACAAGACAATAGTCATGATGGTGGTGCTACAGCAAGCCTCTAAATTTCAAAACTTTGAAAATTCATAACAAATCAACCATATGTGCTACAGCTTTGGAACTTTTACTTTGAAATTTGCTTTTCCATGGCATGGATGGCTACTGTCTGGCACCCTGATGCTTGGCTGAGTCAATTTGTGAAGCCATACATGAACTGTCACTTGCCAATTAGCTCAGTGTGATAGAAGACAGACCTCAGTCTCAGAAGTTGTAGTTCAAGCCTCAGCTAAGGCAGAACGGATATTCTAATGTGAAAGTCCTATGTTCAGGCATCATGCTATGTGGATTAGAGACTACCAAGGTTAAAATAATTATGATCCAGGCAGTTTTGCGGAGAGACAAATATTCTTTATCAACACTTCCCTGTTATCCCTTGTCTCTTTTCCCTGTTTATTTGGCTTAGCTATCAGTCAATATGCAGAGTCTATCCAATAGCTACTTTTACATTTTAAAAAATGTTTTCATCTTTGTCACCATGGATAATGTTTAGCTTTAAGCTAGATCAGGCCAGTTTGTTCATAATTGCTAGCAGTTAATGTTATTCTTACTTTCTTGTTCTTGAGTTTTTTCTTTCCTTTGTATATTATGAGTCTGATCACTTCAGCCACTCATCCACAATTTGAAGGGCATGCCATAATTATATGATGTAACTTCTATGTTGTGATATGCTTCGTTTTAGTGTGTGTGTTGCTCAGAATTGCCTAATTTTGCCTAAAATTGCCGGCCCCGACAATTGCTGCGCAGCAGCTATAATCTTTTATTTGGACCCTGAATCTGTAATAAAGTTTTGAGTTAGTTAAGCATACTTTACTAACTAAACTAAATTGATTTGTTTACATATGCATGACCAGAACCACCAGAGAGCATTTATGGAATGTATAAACCTGATTCACTTTACCTGCTTTCTCGTTGGTCCAGCCTTGGAGAACACTCCAAAGGAGAAGAACTCTGGGTACTGAGAAGATTAAGTGCAAACAACAGATGATCATAAGCACCAAAACATTTCACAATACATATGTATACATCTTTGTTTCAATAATAGGTAGAATACTCAGTTTTCATCAGATGTGAAGTGTAAATTGAATTATGTCGTGTCATGTTTGTTTACCTTGATGAGCAGGTTGCGTCCAAAACTGAACTTGACTAAGAACCAGAACAACATACCAGCAAACATCATCTTGATAACGTTGCCAATACCTCCAACTCCTGCATACGCTCCGTACTGAACCTAAAGTCAACAATGACAGATTCTTTTTGTAGCAGAGGCTGTAATATCCACGCTGTGTCCACATTGGTGCCATCTTAGCCTGAAAACATGACTATTGAGGAAGTGTTGCTGCACATTGTGATGACTCTTGGAAGTAATGAAAAACTGTCAAAAGCCACATCTCATATGAATCACCAAAACATAGACCCATTCAAAAATATAACTGTCCAAAGAAAGAGGAGATGAAATCTAATTTCTATGTCCAACCAAAATATTGGTTAGCAGCATGTCTTTCATTAGTCCTAATTTGTCCAGATAAACATGCCCAGTGGAAAATCCTGGTTAAAACAAGCATTTTCAAAACCAGCTTTGCCCAAAAACCTAAAAGCATAATTGGTCAAATCTAAAATTAGACACATCACCAGAGTCTTCATGATGGGTCTCTATAAGAATAATCTATTAAGAATTTGTTTTACAAATGAATGATTAAAGGAAAATAAATGCAAAAGAAGTGCGAGTAAAGAAAACACAGAAATGAAAAACTGACCGGTTTGGCCTCGTGTTCCTCCACCAGGAAGCGCTGAGTTCTCTTCACAACGGAAGGATCGGAGCCCATGAACGGCACCGTGTACTGCTGGATCTCATTACTGAAGAATAAAGCTCCCCTGCAAATACACACACACGAAGAAACATCCTGAGAAAGCACATTTTGAATGACGTGAAAGCATGCATGGCACACTGTAGTACATGTGTCTAAGGGCCAGAATTTTTCTATACAATATAATAATAATAATAATAATAATAATAATAATAACTTTATTTATATAGCACCTTTAAAAACAAGAGTTTACAAAGTGCTTTGACAAACAAAGCAAACGCAGGAATATCTATAGCAAGAGAGTCAAAACAGTGTGGGCAAGCAAAAGCAGGACAAAATTAAGCTCAAATTGAAGTAAACTAAGCAAAACACAGACAGAATGAAAAGACAGAATGTTAAAAGAGATAAGAACAAAAAAGGCAATAAAACTATTATTTGTAAATACTAGAAACAAACGAATAGAAGGATAAAAAGACAACATTGCATAATGACAATAGCATAACAAAGAATAAACAATTAAAAGGAATAGAATAAAATAAATAAAAAGAGTAAACAAAAAGAATAAATAAAAAGATAAAAAGACTACATCACATGAAGGCAAGTCTATAAAAATGGGTTTTAAGAAGAGATTTAAAAGATGTTACCGATTCTGCAAGCTTTATCTCCTCAGGCAGGTCGTTCCAAAGTCGAGGGGCCCTGGTGGAAAAAGCGCGGTCGCCTCTAGTTTTAAGTCTCGACTTTGGAACGGCCAGGAGGGCCCCGCCTGAGGATCTTAGGCTGCGTACTGGCTCATATGGGGTCAACATTTCTGATATGTAACTTGGGGCCAG